AGCAGCCTTCTGGTTTCGAGGATCCCTCACGACCATACCACGTTTGCAAACTCAAGAAGGCACTATATGGTTTGAAACAGGCACCCCGCTCTTGGTATTTACGATTCACAGGTTTTCTCCGGCACATTGGTTTCCAAAGCTGCAAAACAGACACTTCTCTCTTTGTCTACATGCATGGGTCTCACATGGCATACTTACTCTTATATGTGGATGATATTGTTCTTACAGCATCGACTACTACACTTTTATCCCAGATCACGGAACGTCTGAAGGGGGAGTTTGCCATGACTGATATGGGGGAACTTAATTTCTTTCTTAGCATTAATGTTCAACGTACCAAAGACGGCAATCTTTTCTTGCACCAGACGCAGTTTGCTCAGGAAATCCTCGATAGGGCAGGTATGCTACACTGTAAGCCCATTTCTACACCGGTTGACTCCAAAGGGAAGTTATCAGCCACCTCTGGAGAACCCACCGCCGATGACTCTCTCTATCGTTCTCTTGTTGGTGCACTTCAGTATCTTACATTCACTCGACCAGATCTCACTTATGCCGTTCAGCAGTTACGTCTCTATCTTCACTCCCCACGCACGACACACCTTACGGCCCTAAAACGGGTCCTTCGCTATCTTCAAGGCACAGTCACTCATGGGATCACTCTTTCTCGATCTCCATCGGATTTTCTACAGGCTTACTCTGATGCAGACTGGGCGGGGTGCCCGGATACGCGACGCTCTACTTCTGGTTATTGTGTGTTCTTAGGGGAAAACTTGATCTCATGGTCTTCTAAGCGGCAAGCCACTACTTCCCGATCTAGTGCTGAGGCAGAGTATAGGGCTGTTGCTAATGCGGTTGCTGAAACCAGCTGGATACGAAATCTTCTGCTTGAACTCCATCAGCCACTAAACCGTGCCACTATTGTGTTCTGCGACAATGTCAGTGCCGTCTACTTGTCCTCGAACCCGGTACAACATCAACGAACTAAGCATGTTGAAGTAGATATTCACTTTGTTAGAGACAAAGTTGCATTAGGGCAAGTTCGAGTTCTCCATGTACCATCATCGTCCCAGTTCGCAGACATCTTCACCAAAGGACTCCCCTCACTGCTCTTCACTGATTTTCGACACAACCTTGGTGTTCGGAAATCACCGACGTAGTTGGTAGCATGTTAAATATGTTAAGATTATATTCCATATTTAATATGATTATTATATATATGGTAGATTCCATAATTGTGTATGATTCCATTTAATGTAATTTCTTTATACTACACCCTCCTACATGTATATAAGGGGAGGTAAATATTTTGTAAATGATCATTGGAAATATACAATTCTTCATTAAGTATTTTTAAAATATTATTTTATCTATTTAAAATAAAATATATATTTTATTTAATTGTATGTCAAAAGTTGAAAACGATTGATTATAAAAAATCAAAACTAGAAAAATACGGAGTACTTAGGGACGAAAGTAGTATGAATTACCTTTAATCACACAATTTTATTTTTCCTAATCTCCAAACCAATTCAAATTAAAAATGAACCCTTTTATTGAAATGAAGGGAGTATTAATCATATAAATCGTTAAATTCATATCTCGTTTAGCTGAATTCTCACGATTTATAAGATCATTGATCTTCAGTGGGAAACTTTAAAATTCACCCAATTTGTATCTTAGTTCGTATAGTGCCACATTAGCTTATGCAACTACCTAAATAATTCACATATATTCTACTCTAATGTTAATAAAGTAGGCAACTCACACTTTTTAATTTTTTATTTTAAGTCAACCTTATATTTACTCACATGTAGGTATTCCAACTTAAAGTTATTAATTCGATTAGTTTAATTAATGTGTACTCCGTATATAAAAAACTGATAATTTTTAATTAAATATATTATCGTTACTAATTATATTAGTAAGAATAATAGTAATAATAATAAAAATAATACTCTTGTAATAATAATAATAATAACAATAATAGTAAAAAGTAATAATACGGAGTATTATAATTAGCAAAAAGTAAAGTAACGTCACCTAATGTGAACAACTCCAATAATACTTCCTTGAGTATGTTTCTACTCGGAAATAGTAATTTAAGCTCACATTAACTAAGGAGTTCATACAGAATATATAGTGCTAATCAATAGAGAAATTACACAACGGCCTAAGGAAAAAAAAATAAATTATATATTTTGCCCAATATCCCCCCTTCAAGTTGAGTCTAGCGATAGCAAGAGAAAGCTTGAAGATTAGGGACTAGAGACGTTGGGAGGTTAATGGCTTTGTCAAAAGATCAGTGAGTTCCTCTTCATAAGAAACATGTTCAACAACCATAGAGCTATCAATAACTTGTTTACGAAAAAAGTGACAATCTGTACTAATATGTTTCATTTGCTTGTGAAAACCCAAATTCTTTTTTAGGCATATAGCATACTGATTATAAAATGAGAATGGGTGGCGGCGTAGCAACATGTAAATCCATTAAGAGGTATTTCTGCTGGCAATACTTTGGTAGACCTAAGGTCCACCATGGACCTGTATATGAGTAAAATAAGTATTTCCTTACTTCTTAAAAAACATATGTTTTTTTTTAAAAATAAAAAGTAAAAAAAAATAGATTTTTTACGTGAGAAGGTTCACAAAAATAGTATGCACCCAAAGTGTATCAAAGAAGCACTCAATTTTGCCACATA